CATTTCTCTCTCCGTCGTCTTATTTCCTAAGTCACTACAAATGGGTGTGGTAACAAACATCCCGACTCTACATAAACACACGAAATCGGACCAATTTTAGCCAAGTTACGGGTGTTTAGAGTTCTGCTATATGGCAATTTTATGGACAAAGAGTTCCATTTTCAAAATGCTGTAGCTCCGTTGTCCATTGAGCTACAGACAAACGTTTTAGTGTTCTGGAATCGTCACGACGTAAGGTATCAGGAAAATATATCACATTTGACATAAATATATGTTTTCTGCGAAGTTGGTAGTATGGTACTTGGAGACAAAGTATGGAGAGTTTTGAAGCTTTTGAGCTGAGGAGATTTTGGGAGTCAAGTACTGAGAAATTTGGTAAAAAACAGTGCCAAAACATTTCATCCAATATGGAGGCCAAACGAAGCAATTTCGCTACATTGGATGTGTAGAGATTTTGTTTGGCATCTGATTCCGGATCTCTTCAAGAATTTTGGAAGTCTTTGGAGCTTTCTTGGCGGAGATTTTAGCTGTTGAAATTGCGAATTTTAAAGTTGTTTTGAGTTATCTGCCCTTAGATCTTGAGTCTAGAGTCTTGAGATTTTTGTGGATATAACTTCAGGATCTAAGGTATCTTTGTAGAAATTTTGAATAGATTCTGAGCAGTAGTTTTTAAATTAGGATTGGAACAAAATACGCCGGAATAATAATAATAATAATAATAATAATAATAAAAAATAAATCGAACAATTACAATAGGGCTCTTGCCTTGTAGGCAGGGAGCCCTTATTAAAGCTGCTAGCAGCAATGGCGGGCTCCAAGTAACACTGCGCACAAACGTCCTGTGTTCGAATCCTTAAAGGGTTTCCTTGTACCAAATCCGTCAAATGCAGGCACCACTTGCAGGGTATCGCTGCTACGAAATTGTCACGCATTGGTGTCCAAGTCTGTTCTAAACCCATTTCCGACCTTGAACATGTTCGAATCCTCAAAGGGTTTCCTTGTACCAAATCCGTCAAATGTAGGCACCATTTGCAGGGTATGGCCGCTACGAAATTGTCATGTGCAGGGTTGTCCAAGTCTGTTCTAAACCCATTTCCGACCTTAAACATGTTCGAATCCTCAAAGGGTTTGCTTGTACCAACTCCGTCCAAAAATAGTCACCTGACATCGCCACTACGAATTGGCGAGTTCCAGGGGTGCCCCAAATCTTAATCAAATATTACCACCAAGCTACTTTTACCAAGTTACTTTTAGCATGCAACCAATAACAAAAGATGAGGTATATATGTCCGACTAACTTCATGTCAACTTTCAATAGTTTCTGTGGAGAACCTTACAAGATATGATCTTTAAAGTAAAATTTCAGTGAAAAAAAATCATCAAAATCAAATTCCAATAGGGCCGTCACTAAGAAAGATATCCAAAAACGGCTAACAGAGTTTGATGTATAATGTATGGAGAAAATTCTCAGTAAGTTTGAAATCATTTCATGCACTGGGTTCAGAGGAGATAGGATTTGAAGAGTGGTACCCAAAAACCCTGTGAAAACCTTGAATCCAATATGGGCACAAAACCACGTGACCAATGACCAAAGTCAAAGAACACAAAATGAGGTACATATGTCACACTAACTTCATGTAAAATACCAATAGTTTCTGTGGAGAACCTTACAAGATATGATCTTTAAAGAAAAATTTCGGTGAAAAATAATGATCAAAATCAAAATCAAATATGGCCACAACTAAAAAAGATATCTTAAATCGGCTTTTAAGGTTTGATGTGTTGTGTATGGAGACAATTCTCAGAAAGTTTGAATTCATTTCATGCAGAGGATTCAGAGGAGATAGGTTTTGAAGAGATGCACCCCAAAACACACTGTGAAAACCTTAAATCCAATATTACTGCCAAACCAAGTAACTAATGACTAGTGACGCCATACATAAAATGTCAAGCACCTAAAGCAGAAGACACATGCAAAGTTTCAAAGTAATCGGACTTGCGGTTGCGGAGAAATAGGGCAAAATATACTTTAAAAATTATTTGTTTTTTGCGCTTTGTCGTTGGGCCGACCTTGGGATTTTTGTGGTATCTAGAACTCATCTGTCTGCATACACATACAAAATATGAACGCAATCGAGCAATTGGTTACTTTGCTAGCGCTGGTACAAAAATCGCCGGAATAATAATAATAAAAAAGAATAAATCGGCCGATTACAATAGGACTTCCAGCCTTTCGGCTTGGAGCCCTAATAAATCGAACGATTACAATAGGGCTCTACAGCCTTTCGGCTTGGAGCCCTAATAATAATAAATCGAACGATTTCAATAGGGCTCTACAGCCTTTCGGCTTGGAGCCCTAATTAAAGCGTGGTATTATTTCAGGCCTCAAAATTTCTGTATTAGATGAAAAACATCAACCTGTACATATAGGATACTTGAGTGTAACACTCCATATTATAAATAATGGTTGATTCATCAGGCCCTGGAACACTCAGACAATGTAATACAATTGCGCTTTCTGATCTCGAAAACAGAAGGATTCGGTAAACCCGGTATACGCTTTACACTTACAAGATAATGTATACAAGCGGAAAGAAGTTACATTCACAGGTAATCTAGGAGATTTTAGCGATGTCGACGTTAGTAGACTCCATAAAAACACTTCGTACAATCTTACTCTCAAAGATGATAATAAATGGACTATGGTCGAAGCAAACATTGAGTGGCTATTGAATATCGTCATTACCCCACCGTATGTGATGATGGGTAAGGCACATAATTTAACTAAGATAATAAATAGTGGTATCGTACTCGGGGCTTATATCCCGTCAAAACGAAAAAGTGTGGTAGTCTCTTCCCTGCCAGAAAACCCAGGTCATATGTTATTTAGTTGTCCGGCATAAAAAAATGTAAGTTTAAATTTGGTTACTGAATTCAATGATATTAAACAGAACTTGAGTGCAATACCTAATCTTTCTACGCTTATTATTGAAGTCTTGTTCGGAGATGCACCGGAAGATGCCTTTGAAATATTACCGATTAAATGGCTAAAGAAACACCAACGTCGACGTTGCAGTATTATTCATATCGGAGCATCACCCGTTGCAACCCTTGAGGGGGTCCAAATTATTAAAAGTGGCAGCATTTCTCTTACTAAGATATTCATGCCGTATAATATACATTTGATAAGGTTGATGTATACTCTCAAAACATTTAAGCAAGACCAATTAAAGACTATAAATATGACCGTAATATACACTATGAGTTTATATCCGGCGCTCAATGAGGCATCTGAAAAGATGGATACTGTTGATGGATTTTGATTACATCAAATAAGCAACATAATACATCGAATAGAGAAGGAGAGGGAGCTGAGACTTGGATTGTATAAAAAGTATCGCAGAGCCATGAATGCTCTGGACGGAGTTGACACCGCGCTTGTAACAGCTGGCATGGGACTCAGTGTAGCTGGTGTTGGTTTATTATCAACTACAATTGCCACGCCTATCGTACTTGGCATGGAAATAGCGGCTGGAGTCCAGGACTGGCAGGAATAGCGATAAAATTCATTTCTCGTAAGTTGCAAAAGAAAGCATTAAAACACGATAATATTCGGATACTCGCCGAAGCAAAGTTGAACAGCGTTGAGGATCATATTTCAACAGCAATGGCTGATTGTAAGATATCCGAGGAGGAGTTTCGTTTAGTGCTGTCAGAACTCACCAAATACAACATAATGAAGCAGGAGATTCGATCTAATTCTCGTAAGACCAGTGGTATTAGTGAAGACGAGGAAAAAAACTTCATAGAACAGGGGAGGCAACAAGCGCGTCAATTATTCTGTGCCAAAACCAAAGAACTGGTTGGAGATTAAAAATAGATTGCTTACTATCATTAGATCACACAGCATAAAAAAACCTACATTCATTTAGAAGAATGCTTACGTAAATATATAATAATAGAGAATTACAAACCAACAAAGGAAGAACTCGAAAAAGCTATCAAAACATTTATGCTCAAGGACAAAATTATCAAATGGAGAGAATTACCAGAAGGTATAAATTATATCAGTGATGTCAAACCAACCAAATACGGTCATCAATTGTTTCTTTCCAATTACCAAGAAGAGCTTATAGTCTGGTCGCCTAGTAAAATGAACAAAGAACTTAGTAAAAATGTTGAGTATCACTTTGTTAAAAATAATGGTATACGTATGAATAAAAATAATAGAGAATATTTTCATTACAATTTAGTTTAGTCTCATGACGATCGTTGAATCGCATCATCATTTTTGCATATAAAATTCCCCCTGTAGTAGCAGTATAGGTATATAAATCTGGCTCCAGTGGAGTTGTGGCAGAACCATCATTACCTATACTACTCGTAGCCTGCCACTCCGAGGATGGTCCCTGACTGCATTTGTCTGTTGCCAACTTTGCCATAAACACCAAACCTGTCATTTTTGGACAGGCGTGGCATTTCGTAATGTTGAATAATTGCGTAATTTTGTTGTTTTTCTGGGTGGTTGTTGTCAGTACGATGCTAAACAATAATTTTGGAATCTTGTTAACGCATATGTTTTTATACCCATTCTTGGGTAGTGAAATGCATGGGGCTTGCATAAAAGTCAACTTTTGCATGGAATGCATGCTTTTCTGTAGCAGTTCCATTTTTGTGACTTGATTACATACATGTACTACAGTACTGAAAACCAAACTTTACTTGTTTGAAAAATACACTAAAATATTGATGTCACGGGAACTTTTGTTGTTGAGTATATATAAACGCATAAGTAATCAGCTTTTGCAACAAACCACCTCAGTGAGTGAGTTAAAATTTAACGTGGCATCAGCATTATTTCAGCCATCTAGGGACGAGAACAAGTTGATATGTATACAATTGTGTCATGAATACAAAGTTATCTCAACTAGAAAAAACTGTTCATGTTGCTTTCCTTTCTATGAGAGGAATTTCACAATCCAAACTCATCCTTTCTGCAGGGAACTGTGATGGATGATTGTTGCATGACAACGTTTTGCGGCCCATGTGCTTTGTGTCAGATGTCACGTGAGATGGACTACATCCGGAACATGCAACAGTGAGGTCAAGGTCAAGTTTCGAAGACAGGACCCTCCACTCACGATGGATATGACCTTCTAATGACCTACAGCTCGTCTTTAAGAGAAGCAATCTCATTTAAATCACTTAACATTTATTGCAATCATGTGTACCTCTGTCTACATTATGACCCACGTTGCCAGTGAAAGTGCTGATATGAATGGAAACAGTCCATGCTGTGGGAAAGGAACGGTGACGTCAAATGAATGTAAATACTCAGTTACCATCTGTAGTCAACTGAGCAGGACTCTAAACTGTCCTCCAGATCTATAATAGATCTGATAAGTAAAGGGACCATTTTAAACTTTTATATTAGGTTAGGGAGATTTTGTTATCTTTACTTTCTGTGTATAGATATTTCTTACTTTGGGAGAGGATATATATTCAAGCATTACATTATAACCAAGAGCCTTGACACATAGCTTACACCTAGACAGAAGGTCAGTGTATGCTCTACTAATAGTTTCACTGAAACGTTTATCTCTTTTTATCATTGATAGACATTCTTTTATGTTCTACATTATGCTGTGACTTATTTGCCGTTTAACGAGCAGCCCTCTATCCCTCCGAAAACAACTTCCCTATGTACATTGCATTGTGTCTTGTATCTGATGCTATAAGCATGTACATTGCATTGTGTCTTGTATCTGATGCTATAACCATGTACATTGCATTGTGTCTTGTATCTGATGCTATAACCATGTACATTGCATTGTCTTGTACGTGATGCTATAAGCATGTACATTGCATTGTGTCTTGTATGTGATGCTATAACCATGTACATTGCATTGTGTCTTGTACGTGATGCTACAACCATGTACATTGCATTGTGTCTTGTACGTGATGCTACAACCATGTACCTGTATTGTGTCTTGTACGTGATGCTATAACCATGTACCTGTATTGTGTCTTGTACGTGATGCTATAACCATGTACATTGCATTGTGTCTTGTACGTGATGCTATAACCATGTACATTGCATTGTGTCTTGTACGTGATGCTGTAGCCATGTACACGCATTGTGTCTTGTACGTGATGCTATAACCATGTACATTGCATTGTGTCTTGTATGTGATGCTATAACCATGTACATTGCATTGTGTCTTGTATGTGATGCTGTAGCCATGTACACGCATTGTGTCTTGTACGTGATGCTACAGCCATGTACATTGCATTGTGTCTTGTACGTGATGCTGTAGCCATGTACCTTGCATTGTGTCTTGTATGTGATGCTATAACCATGTACATTGCATTGTGTCTTGTATGTGATGCTATAACCATGTACCTTGCATTGTGTCTTGTATGTGATGCTATAACCATGTACCTTGCATTGTGTCTTGTATGTGATGCTATAACCATGTACATTGCATTGTGTCTTGTATGTGATGCTATAACCATGTACATTGCATTGTGTCTTGTACGAGATGCTATAGCCATGTACATTGCATTGTCTTGTACGTGATGCTATAACCATGTACCTTGCATTGTGTCTTGTACGTGATGCTATAGCCATGTACATTGCATTGTCTTGTACGTGATGCTATAACCATGTACCTTGCATTGTGTCTTGTACGTGATGCTATAGCCATGTACATTGCATTGTCTTGTACGTGATGCTATAACCATGTACATTGCATTGTGTCTTGTATGTGATGCTTTAGCCATGTACATTGCATTGTGTCTTGTATGTGATGCTATAGCCATGTACATTGCATTGTCTTGTACGTGATGCTATAACCATGTACCTTGCATTGTGTCTTGTACGTGATGCTATAGCCATGTACATTGCATTGTCTTGTACGTGATGCTATAACCATGTACCTTGCATTGTGTCTTGTACGTGATGCTATAGCCATGTACATTGCATTGTCTTGTATGTGATGCTATAACCATGTACATTGCATTGTGTCTTGTATGTGATGCTTTAGCCATGTACATTGCATTGTGTCTTGTACGTGATGCTATAGCCATGTACATTGTGTCGTGTCAAGTATGTGATGCTATAGCCATGTACCTTGTATTTTAGAGCAAACTTTTTTTCCCAAAGTACTCATGGAAATGAAAAAAACCTGTTTTTTCGACCTCAGATCTTAAATAAATGCAGTTAATATGCAAAATATGTAAATATTCAAACAACTAAATTAGTACTAATTGGGCCGTGGCACAAATACAGCGTATCAAATGTTTTTATGCCTTTTTACATGTAAAAGTGTGTAAAAATGTGAATAAAACAGACTATTGTGAAACAGGGCATAACCAGGTGTAAGTAGATCAAGGTGACCTATGACGCCTTTGTCAATTTGGACTTAGTTTTATTTTTGAATGTTGAAAGTGCCGACAAATTACCTCCTGTAAAGTACATTTTGTATGGTTCACTGAGATCAAACTAGCAAATCCAGACTAGTACTTTTCGAGTTGATTTGTTATTTGGTATTTACAGCTACGTAACACTTTGTGTCGATTTTTAAATTGAGAAAAACGTGGTTTTTTTCATTTCCGTGAGTACTTTAACAAGATCACCCCAATGCTACAACTGACTTGACCTTATGGAGACGCTCACTTCTCCGTCCGTTTCTGAAATATGAGAATTTTATTATTTTTACACATTGAATATTGGCCCAATCGACCAGAGAGATAAACATAAGTGTTGCTATACAGATGCATGTAGTATTTTTTGTACATACATGTTTTTATGGGTTTGACTTTTTAAAATAAATGAATATTGAGAACTTGTTTTGTTGATATGTTGCTTTAAAGGCATCTTCATATAGGTTGTTTGTTATCCAAGAACTCTCCAAGTTTTGCTTTTCAGACCCGAAGCTGTTCATACTGCAGTGTGGGTGTAATCCGCATGTGGTGCCTGAGACACCTCCAGTGTCTTCATTCGGTTGCACACCTTGCATGTGGACTTCAAACGATTATTGGTGCCTGACATTCTTCTTGTATTTTAAGGGGCGGTCGGGAAGCCTGGTGGTTAAAGCGTTCGCTTGTCACGCCGAAGATCCGGGTTCGATTCCCGACATGGGTACATTGTGTGAAGCCCGTTTCCGGTGTCCCCTGCCGTGATATTGCTGGAATTTTGCTAAAAGGGATGTAAAACCATACTCACTCACTCACTCACTCTTGTATTTTAAAGTGACCATTTGTTTCAACTGTGTGGCAGCCTTAGATTGTCCAGTTTGAACGTTTACCCATCGAGTCTGGAATATGAAAGGTGGACAAGAGTGGGGAAATTTAGTTACATTAAGTATTATATCTACCAGTTGTCCTCTATCAACTACCCGATCAAAGGTTTATTAAAATACTAATTTAATTTAACTTTTGTTGTAGATCTCTAACATATTATACAAGCCCATATTAATAACATGACATTCATGCGGATCATTATGGCTCGGGAATATCTCAATGACATCAGCACGGATTTGTTTGCTTGTTCATTTGACACCACACTCCGCAAGGGGTCTGGGGTATGATGACACGCAATCAAGCAAGTGGCCTAGTCTTGACCATCCAATCGGTCGCCTTGTATGTGATGGAAGGACCTATTCTAACCCGTAGTCCATGTACCTTATAGCAAAACAGGTTAAAAACAACTTCTTAAAATTGCTTAAACATTGATAAAGATAACAGTAATTAAGTGTGAAAACAAATATATAAATATTGCAGAACATGGAATCCCATATTTTCCAGAAATGTACCAAGCTCATTGAAATAACATCTTGAATATATCTTTACTGTTTAACAATGAATATATCCAAAACTTGAGAGATACGCTAGCAGACATAAACCCTGAATATTGGAACAGTAAATATACTAAAGATGAAGTGAGAAAAACTGAAGACCTAAACTTAGAAATATAGATCAGTGATTATCTCATTTTAGTGAGAGGGAAATCAATATCTCTTTCCCCTAATTTAAAAAAAACTTATTTAAGAATACAAATAAGAAACATAATCCAGGAAGGAGGAAGGAGAGACACCATCAAAATATTTTTGTCATCTTGAAAACAGGAACTATACTAGGGAACTAATTAACAGTTTTATAACTGATAAAGGGGAGTTCATAACGATGGACAACTGAACAAAGTGGAGAAATAACTAGTGAAACCAAAAAAAAAGAAGATAATACACAAACTTTATACTCCAAAACTTAGTAAATCACAGTTTGATAATTTCGAAGACATGATTAAAATGCATGAAATATCAACGGCTGTTAAATCTATGAAAAATAACAAAAGCCCAGGTATTGATGGATTCCCAGTAGAGTTTTTCAAAACATTCTGGAAGGATCTTGGAATATTGGAATACAAATATATTACAAAAACATTTAGAAACGGCGCAATAATACTACTAGTTTCGCATTTTTAGGCAGAAACAGGTTGTTTTGTTTTAGGTGCGTTAAGGTCAATCCTGACAAACGCTCCTGACCCATTTTGCGCCTCAAATGGGTTGCCCCTGTACTTGTGACTGGTAGAGTCGCAGCAAGTGTAAGTAACCTTCTGATATTGGGAAATAAATCTTTGTCAGCTGATGTAAAACACATCGATATATAGTCTGGATAATTTTCTTGTTTCTTTCAGTGGCGTTGCCAGTCTTTCAGTTATGACAATTACGCAGACGGCATTGGTAAATCTTTCTCCCAGAACATCAACTTGGATTCAGTGTCTTTAAGCTCAGACTGTATGATGATGACACTTGGAAGGAGTATCAGGAGATCTTGCCTGGGCGATTTTCAGAACTGAATCTGGTATTCATCTCCTTGTTTAAATGATCAAGAAAAGGGATGGCCCGATTCCCCTTCAAAAACTCAAATACGGGATTGTGAATGAGCATTGACTCTTTGGGTTATCCTTTTAACTATTCTTCTTACTTTGATACCCAGTATCTACCCGATTGGCAAGGGAGCTCCTCAAACCACTCATGACAATGATCACTCATGCCTCTGTTCGCATCTCTTTGATGATCCCTTTCTTTCATCTATCATCTTGTATGCCGAATAGATGTGAAGAAATGCCATAATGTGTTGAGAGTCTCTGAGTACAGTCCCTGAGCCTTTACAGTGGTTTCCCTGTCCCATCCCCAGTCGTCCTCATCATATATGTCCATGAAGCTTCCCCTAAACAGTTCATTTCTGGTTGGTGTAGCCGTCAAAAATCGGTTACGGAGGTGACGTAAGCCAATCTGACGATCCTCTGCATGTGATGTCACACGTGGTCGACCTGGCCGAGGGCGATCAGCGGTGGTACCCGTTTGCTGTAAACGCGTCTGTAAATCATAAACAGTCCATCGACTACAACCCATCGTCGTTGCGACTTCAGCTACGGACGTTCCCGTCTGCAACATGCCGATGGCACGTTCACGTTGCACATTTGAAAGGCGTGGCATGACAAATTGCCGTAAGGACTTTTGTTTTCTTGTGTTTTTCTTTTTTTGTTAATGACTGCCAACAAGTATGGCTGAAAACACGTGCGGTATTATGGCCACGTGACCAGTTGCACGTGAAAAACCACTTTTGCCACTATAGTGCTGTGCACATGATTTTGATCGATTCACCTGCACAAAAATGGGTGTTATCTGAAGACAATACGTGGGCATTACTGTTTAAATACACAATAAGGGCCCACAATGATAACTGGTCAAAATGTTAAAATTTTAGGATTGTGAAGATTTTAATTTGGTTCACTATAGAATGTTTTCTGAATGCAAAATGTTCAAAACAATTTACATTAAAAAAATGCTGTTTTACATGGGTACATTCTGTTAAATCACATTATACTGGCATACCAAAAATATATATACTAGCCACATAAAGAAACTGCACGGAGAAAATATATTCTGGATTGAAATACAACACAGCAAGAACAAAATGATGCAGACGCTGTAGCAGCTGAATGATCGGACCATAAGAAAATGTCAACGGGACCTGAACAACATCTGTTACGATGACGTCAGAAGATCAAAATGGAGTAGGGGGTCATACGACAAAGTCACAAAGTGTCAATAACGGGTATGACCACCCTGTGCGTGAATCACAGCAGTGCATCGGCGACGCATGGAGTCCACCAAATGGGCATGGAAGGCCTGGGAAATGGCCTGCCATATCCTCCTCAAATCCTGTGCCAAGTCACGGACGTTATCTGGAGGATGTGGAAGACGATGCAGACGGCGCTCCATTTCATCCCACACATGCTCTATTGAGGAGACATCTGGAGAAACTGCAGGCCATGGCAGTAACATGACATTGTTATGGTGAATGAAATCCATTGCGACCCTAGCTGTGTGAGGACGAGCGTTGTCCTGTTGAAATGTCAATCCCGGGCCATGACGTTGCAGGAAAGGAATGACCACAGGCCTCAGAATCTGATCTCTGTAGCCAACACCGGTGAGACTGCCCTGAACAACCACCAAAGGGGTTCGGTGCCGTGCTGTTATCCCACCCCAAATCATCACAGAGCCACCTCCAAAACGATTCCTCTCCACAATACTGTTGCGTGCATAACGTTCTCCCAAACGCCGGTAGATACGTTGGCGCCCGTCACTGTGGGAAATGTTGAACCTCGATTCATCTGTAAAGACAACATTTCTCCACCATATTCGAGGTTGGCGAACATGATTTCGACGCCATCTTAGACGGTTGACTCGATGACGGTGTGTCAGGATGGGACGTATGGCAGGGCGTCGTGGTCGAATCCCGTACTGACGTAAACGATTCCTGACAGTGTTGGGATGGATACGGCGCAGTCCAGGAATTGTCTGGGACGTCGTTACTGCCGTTTGGAACCTGTGTCGGAGATGTGTAACTCGAATCCATCTGTCCTGTCTTGGCGTCGTTACTCGGGGACGTCCTGAACGTGGGTGGTCGGCAACGTCATTTGTGTTCTGATAACGCCTCACCAATGCCGATATCGTGTTACGATGGCATTGGAAATGTGTTGCCACCTGTTGTTGCCTCATTCCCGCTCGGCGTCCGCCCAGAGAG